TTAATAATGTATTCCAGTACTTTATAAAAAATTAAGTTTACTTTAAGAAAATGAATATTTATAATTAAGTTCCGCAGGACAATAAATTTTAATAAAATTTCTATATATGTATATATATACATGCATATATATATATTCAATATATATGCATATATATATATATTTAAAGTCCCTCAATACGTAGCCACCTAGCGGTTCAATGTGGAACAATGACAGGAAAATCACAAAAATTTGTTGCCGTGAAATCACCTTATATTCTTACACCGTGGTCAAAGTCTAAAGTTAGCGATCTAGTACTAGTATAGACATCTGTGGTTAAAGTTAACCGACGTTGGAAAAAGTGGCCCTAAAAGATCTGATAGAATACTCCAATGGCGATGAGCGCTCATACAACCGTTGTGTTTTCTCAACGCATCCAATGTAAACGCGTAACGGAAACGCGCAACGCTTCTGATTGGTTACGCGATACGCGTTCGCGAACCATACATGCCATGGGATGTCGCTCTAACGCGTTACGGAAGAGCTTGTGCAGTAGGCCTAGGCGTAGAGACAGAGAACGAACAGTCTATACTTACTACGTCTATGGTTGAGGCATTGCGACGCGAACAAATCTCTTATATCACTTGCAGCACCAAAAGTGCAATTAAAACTATAGACGAGCAGTATATAGACGAAAGCGAGCAGAATAGACAAGCATCCACCAGATGGCGATTGCATCTGAATGTGATCACCAACTTATAAAGTACGTTGCGAGGTTGTGAGCTTATCGTATTATTCCACATGTTGATCAGTTGAAACAGGAAATAATACACACGCATATTTTTGCGGATCACCACCGCTGTTTGGTACGTGCTATTTGCAGACCATCGATCCGACGTCCATCTTTCTCCTTTCGCGAAGTTCGTCGGCCGCGGATTCGCGGACGGCCGATCTGCAACACAACTTCCTGCGCTCTCCCTGAGAGACAGCCGTCGTTACGTCACTTCGTCATCGACAGTCATCGATAGACGTTGGAATACGACCGCAGTGGAGTCAGCTTGTGCGCTTGCTCTCCTGTTGTGTTGTATACGTGTTGTATTTATAAACGCGCGTCCACTGTTTTAAACTACGAACTATTAAGTCGTAAAAGTCGTGATTGGCGACGTCCTGTGATTAACAAATCGCGCTCGGAGTCATACTCGGCATCAAGACCGAATCCGTTCGCCCTCGCACGTCACGTTCGAACGCCGTGCGCCACTTTGCGTTCAACGTTTGCTGGAGTATAACCTAATCTAAAAACTATCGTGAATGATAGTTTCTACGGTTCGCGTGATCTTTTCTTCCTTCTCTTTCTCTTTCTCCGTCGCTTATTAATTAGTCTCGCGAATTCGCGAGAAATCATTTGAAAGCATCGCGTAAACGCAGTACGCGGCTGTACTTGTCTCGCTCTCTCTCTCTCTCTCTCTGTCATCAGTGGACGAGAAAACGGATTTTTTTCGATATAGAGCGGTTACTGTGAAACTAGTCAAAATTCCGGTCCCTACTAGGAAACGAGAGAGCCCCCAACAAACCGGCGGCAGAAATCCACCAGCTACTGGCGACGAACCGTCAAGCAGGATGAATAGCAAGAGGAAAAATCGTTCCAACAATAACAGGTACTGCCAATCTCTTGGCTTTCCTCGTCAAGATCATAATGGCAGGTACAATATCCAAATGCAGTGATATATTGTCAGTGACAAAAATGTTTTCTTTGCATCGATACTTCTTTCCAGGTCTCCACGAGCACGTAACCCACAGGAGAGATGTGTTGTGACCGATGGGGTCTACAATAACGGTCATTTTATGCATGCAGTTGCTAGTAATGTTGGCAACATAGTACAGGTAACAAATATACTTGAGCAATCAAGTTGTATCTTTGAGATTTTCTATTTTTATGAGATCTTTATTCTTATATAAATTAAGATTTTTTTATTTTTACACTTTTTTACATTGTTCTACTACTTTTATATAACAATGTGACCAAGTTAGAGAAAGAAAAAGTAAAGGTAAAAAATGAAAAAAGGGAAAAAATGTGATATTCTAATTTTGTATTTGTCATTAAAACAAGATTGAAGATCAAGAATAAATTGAACAATCTCAATATATGGACCTGAAGATGATTGTATGGGAATAAAAAAATAAGCAACTTTCAGGGACTATGAAAATAGTTGCATAAAAGATAGGGCATAAAAATGAAGACTAATGTTTATCTTATATTTTGATTGATATTTGTTCTGACTTTAACATATTTTTTATTATTTATTTTTTCAAAAAAATAAAAATTTATATTTGCAATGTCCTTGAATTGCTATTAACAATATGCAACTTATTGTTAATAGCAATTTTTCAAGAAAATATTTTTTAATAATTTATGTAGTAACAAAATAATCTACATAGTCTTTCATCCACTACACAACCATTTTCCAGGTTAGAGAGATTTTGTTATACATATTACAGAGATATTGTTATAAATTTTAATAGCGTTTTTGATTGAATGGATTTTGATCCATCAATTAATCACTAAATTTTTACTATGAATTCAAGCAGCTTTGGCGGAGACGATGCAACGACGTCATTAACTTTGGATCGTTGAAAATCCATTCATTCAAAAGTGCTATAATTATCATCGTATTTTGGCATATTGTAACATAACGTTTTTTTCTATTATTATAGGTTCATACGCAAAATAAGGCAGTATATGAGGGTATATTTAAAACATATTCTAGCGTGTTTGATACAGTAATAGAAATGGCTCACAAAACAGACAACTCGGACCAGATCAAAGTGGAAACTGTAGTAGAAAAATTAATATTTAAACCACAACAAGTTGTTGACATGCATTTCAAAGATGTTGATTTAGAATATGCAATAAGAGATACTTTCCAAACGGATACAGCCATTAGTAAATTTAATGGTATAATTGCTGAAAAAGAGCTTGAACCTTGGGATGCACCCACCACAATGAACGGTGCTGATTTAGAATTAGATGGCGCTGCTGTAAGTTCCGCAAATTTGTTGCAGAAGAGATTTAACAAACAGTGAGTTGTATGAATTTTTCTGATTTTTAGAATGGTTGGGACGTTAATGAGATGTTCCGTAAGAACGAGCAAGATTACGGAGTACAAACAACATTTGAGCCTTCCTTAGTTGGTTATACTCTGCAGCTTCAACGTAAAGACACAAAAGATTATAAGGAACAAGAACAAAAGGCTGCTGAGATAGCAAACGAAATCGAATCTCAACCTAACCATAAAGCGAGATTAGAATTAGAAAATGGTGATGAAGAAGAACGATTTGCAGCTGTGGTAAACTTGAGAAATATTTTGAGATTTCACTTTTATCTATTTACTCTCACCTGGCGATGGTCGGGTTATTTGTGACCTAAGAGCTGAATGTTTAATTTGCAACGATTAGCCAGACAGCATAGCGAACTAGTGTTTCTGCGGTTAATATATTAATACATGTAATGTTGCACAAGATTTCAAAAAAAGAGATGTGTCTAAATCCAAAAATGTTATATAATTTTTACAATGGGAAGAAAAAATCAATGTAGGTCACAATAAACTCAGTCATCCGAAATTTAAACATTTCTAAGGAAACTTTAAATTTTTTTCACAGTTTTCTTGCCAAAATATTTCAATTTAAATCAGATAAATAACATCAACTTATAAATTTTAATTTATAGCAAGTATTAAAGCAGTTTATAATTACTTTTTATTTATGAAAATTTTTTTATTACAAATTTCTATTTAAAATTTTTGCCTAGACTTGACATATTACTGGTAAAAATTTCTGTATTGTTTTGAAAATCGTGAAAACTCGTGAAATTACAGATTAGATAATAATTATAAATTAATACATTCTGTTATATTTAATTCAGGCAAGACCTACTGAAGGCAAATATATTCCACCGCCACTAAAAAAGAAGAATGGTAACACTAGCAAATTGATGAGATCCAATGACACTCCATCTTCACCAGGAACTACAAGCAAAAATGTCTACAGTCAACAGTCTCCGTCCACAATTAATGTAAATGTTCCACAATCTAATATACCAGTTGGAGTGCAACCTACTCATACCTCGGTGCAACATCCAGTCTCTTTAAATATGGGATTGCCACCTAATGGAATGGTCACATATAATAATCCACCGCAGCCGTTTGTGCCTCCGCCAACTACACAATCGCAGCAAGGTATGTTAGTTTACTTACATTTTATTCAATTTTTTAATATGTTGATAAAAATAAAAAAGGACTATATTCATCCTTTAAGTATTAGTAATACATATATACATAACATACATTTATATAAATAACATTAAATATTGAATAAAGTGTAGGTTTGTAGTCCTCTAACCGCATCACTCGGTAATGACACATTCTTGAAATCATTTTGAGATAAAATTCCTAATGCCAAAATGTCGAGACGACAATAGTTTTTAAATGAGAAGAATTTAAAGTTTCGTGTGGGACACCCTGTATATTATTTTAAAAAAAGTGTTTTATTTATAAGATTTTTGCAAAACACAGTATCCATAGACTTTTTAGAAATATTGAAATGAAATCTGATACAAAATTTTCTCATTTAATATGGCAGACTTAATGTTTACACAATTATATTAAACGCAAAGTTAAAAGAACACTATTTTATTTTTATTAAACTTTATTTCTAAGAATTTAATTTTTTTATATTTGAATTTGATATAATAATTAAATTCGAGGGATATTCAAGGGAATATTATCTCTATAAAATATAAAGCAAATTTATTGTGTATTACAATTTTTATTTACACATTGAGATTAAGCGTCAAGAACTATTTTTGAACTTATTTTACTTTAGAATTTCTATTCTTTATTCTTGTGTTACAAAATTTACATCTAAATTTTTTAATTAAAGATTCTTAGAAACTTTCTGAAAAAATTTTATATAAAATATAATGTTAGAGTTTCTAATTGATGCGTTGAATTCACAATGCAGAATTCTAAAATTTTGATTGCAGATTTGAGTTTAATATTCTAAGAAATCTTAAATGTAAAATTTCCATTAGATGTGTGTATTTTTTAAAATATATATATAATAATATTAGAAATAATATAAAAATTATTAAAAAATTTTTTTTTTATGACATGTTTTTAATAGTACTATCAAATGTTAATAGTTAAAGAATTAATGTATTATATTTGTAAAAATGATCATAAATTACCTAAGAAGTTGACATTTGTTTAGTGATTTAATAATGTGAGTTATTATAATGTATGCGATACATATATAATGACAGTTTTTTGTATCAAGATACTATAGTTAATAAATTCTCTTGATACAGTAATCCAACCGAATCAACCGCAAACTCAAGGTACTCCTTCAATGCCGCAAGTAGGCTTTCCACCGCAGCAGCAGCAAACGTCTTCAAATAAATTAAATACGGATAAACGCGAACGACCCGGCAGGCAGCAGGTTTATCAAGCTGACAAAGCGCCACCAGCGCCATTTCCTCAATCAAATGCTGCATCTTCTCATCAGCAGCAACAATCTTCGCACCAACAACATACATCATTACCGCAACAGAATTCCGTAGAAGGGCAAATAGTCATACACAAATCAGATCACAGAAAGGTACATATTGTAATTTAAAATAATTTTTCTATTTAAATTGTGAGAGTTTATTCACTCATAAGTTTTATTTCAAGGTCCCGACGCCACGCGGAAGAGATGAGCAGCACACAGAATTACGACAGTTTGCCGCGGAATTTAAATTAACAGAATCGCAAGGACTGTCAGATACACCTCAAATTCCCAGAAAGCTGCAGCATCAGCATCAGCAGGATGTGCATTCCGCCTCTCCCATGAATCAGTCACATCATCAAACTTCTCATCAGCATACAAGTCCGCAGCAGCAACCGCAACAACCAGCATCGCAACAGCATAATAGTCATCAAAATGTACCGGAGGAACCTGCTATCACCAGTAAGCCGCCATCTGGTTCATTAGCAGTAAGATCCACGAGTCCGCCTCAGCAGCAGCAGCAGCAGCAGCAGCAGCAACAGCAGCAGCAACAACAACCACCACCACCTCCGCCGCCACAACAACAGCAGCAACAGCAACAACAACAACAACAAGCGCAAAATACCCCGACAGTACAACAATCCCCGCCGGAACCTACGGTCGATAAAATAACTACTGCTTTCAAGAAGTCTACGTTAAATCCAAATGCTAAAGAATTTAATCCAAATGCCAAACCATTTACACCAGTAAGATACATTATCAGTAACATACATTATCAACTTGCGCTAGAGAGGATGAACTTTTTAAATAATGAAATTTGTGTAATTTGTAGCGCTCTCCTAGCACCCCAACACCTAGTCGGCCACACACACCTCAGACGCCTCAGTATACGG